CGGATCCTTCGATTGCTAAGCATATATTGAAGGACAACGCAAAAGCTTACTCCAAGGTAAAAAAAACACTAGCACTGACAATTTACGGATGAATGGTCTCCTTTCGTGCTTTTCCTTATGCATCTACTTGTAAATTTTAGGGGATTTTAGCTGAAATTCTAGATTTTGTAATGGGAAAAGGACTCATACCAGCTGATGGGGAGATATGGCGTAGAAGAAGGCGTGCTATTGTCCCCGCGTTGCATCAGAAGGTAACCAATTTGTGGAAAAGAAGAAAAAGGAGTTCCATAGTAAAAAGTTTAAAGTTGGAAAATGTAGGCATTTGTTTACCTTCTCTCTGTTATTTAGTATGTAGCAGCTATGATCAGCTTATTTGGAGAAGCTTCAGATAGGCTTTGCCAGAAGCTCAGTTCCGCTGCATCTTCAGGGGAAGAAGTAGAGATGGAATCACTCTTCTCTCGTTTGACACTCGATATTATCGGCAAGGCGGTTTTCAACTATGACTTTGACTCCCTAACAAATGATACCGGTGTGATCGAGGTTCTTTCGCGATTTCTCCATCTGCTTCAGTAAAGTTTTTCGCCTTTTGGTGTGTTGGATCAGCAAAAATGAATAGCTTTTCATGTTCTCTTTGTTAGGCAGTTTACGCTGTTCTAAGAGAAGCTGAAGATAGAAGTGTTTCACCTATTCCTGTTTGGGACATACCGATTTGGAAAGATATTTCCCCTCGGCAGAGGAAAGTTGCAACTTCCTTGAAATTGATCAATGACACACTCGATGATTTGATCGCAACATGCAAGGTATAACTCAGAACCAAGTCCAAGAATTGGTCATGGTCGTTGGATCCTCATTCCATTTTCTTATTGTTTGTTGTCTTGACAGAGAATGGTAGAAGAAGAAGAGTTGCAGTTTCACGAGGAATATATGAACGAAAGAGATCCAAGCATCCTTCATTTCCTTTTGGCTTCAGGAGATGATGTAATAATAGTTATACTTTTCTCATTAAGAATTCAATAGTCTGATAGTTATCAGCTTCATCGGATTTTATGTCAGTCCTTCTTTCCCAATTTGTTTCAGGTCTCCAGTAAACAACTCCGTGATGACTTGATGACCATGCTTATAGCCGGGCATGAAACATCAGCTGCAGTATTAACATGGACCTTTTACCTGTTAACAAAGGTAGAGAGTAGACAAATCAAGCAAACCGTTAATTCACTCTCAAACAAAATTTAGTAACAAGAAATTGCTTAATGGTTATTGGTATTGCAGGAACCCAGCGTAGTTGCCAAACTCCAAGAAGAGGTATCAAATAGATAATTCACGCATATGATCTTACAAGAACATTCACATGTTAGACAATTACAAGAGGACTATTTGAGTCTATGTAGGTTGATTCTGTTATTGGAGATAGGTTTCCAACCATAGAAGATATGAAGAAGCTAAAATACACTACTCGAGTCATGAATGAGGTAAAAGGCAATTTCAATTTTACTGGTTGAGAAAAATGCTAGTTGGATGATTTTTTCCGTGGTTGTTGTGTAGTCATTGAGATTGTATCCACAACCACCGGTACTGATCCGCCGTTCTCTAGAGAATGATATGCTTGGACGGTATCCGATTAAAAGGTCACGAATTTTCAACCTTGTTGTTTTCATTTGTCTGCGTTTTGGCTTTAGCATTCGTTCAAGATAGGAAGTTCTGAGTTCTGATAAAAGAATGTGTTTTGAAAAACCAATAGAGGAGAGGATATCTTCATCTCAGTTTGGAATCTGCATCGGAGTCCTCTTCATTGGGAAGACGCGGAAAAGTTCAATCCCGAGAGATGGCCTCTTGATGGACCAAACCCAAATGAAACAAACCAAAACTTCAGGTAATAGCCTTTGTTTTGCTTATCACATTGCGTATCATTATATTTGATTATATCGAGAAACTTTTCTTCTCCAGTTACTTGCCGTTTGGTGGAGGACCGCGGAAATGCATAGGAGACATGTTTGCTTCGTTTGAGGTACATAATCAATTAGCATCAAAACTTGTTATATATGAGTAACTTGCTTCGGATGTTCTCATGGCATTGTCAAGTAGTGACAAAGTTCTCTGTTTGTAGAATGTGGTAGCGATTGCAATGCTTATTCGAAGATTTAACTTCCAGATTGCACCAGGAGCCCCTCCGGTATAGTCATCAGAAAAAACTCTTCCTGTTTAGTCACAGAAAGATTTCAAAACGAAACTAAGATAATGACATTTGTAAAGCTAACCAAAGCACCACTAACGGTTAGTTATTTTATCGGTAATCCGTTTGTGGATGGACAGGTGAAAATGACAACAGGAGCTACAATACACACCACAGAAGGATTGAAATTGACTGTAACACACAGAACAAAACCTCTAAACATACCATCTGTTCCAATACTTCCGATGAAAGCTACTCGAGACGAAGTTTCCTCTGCTTCCTCTTCTATGTCTTAAGTCTCTTCGTCATTTTAGAACTGAATCAAAGAAGCTCAGTG